CTCTCTCTCTCTCTCTCTCTCTCTCTCTCTCTCAGAGGGAGTATGGGGCCCAGCAATACTACGTTGGCGTGGGGGTTCGTTTCGTCCGTTAGTGTCTGATCTCAACTATAAAGCAATCAAATTGCTCCATATCTTTCTCACACACAATTCCCTCTCTCCTCTTCAGAACTTTGGTTTTGTGATTGACCCAATTTGAGTTTCTTCACTCTTTCTGCATCCAAAAGGCTGTCAATTGAGTCTCATTCTTGATCATTTTCCACAGAGCTTTCCGTTTCTTCAATAATACCGTAATAAAAAAGGAAGATGACAAACCAAAAAAATTTGATGGTTTCGGATATGGCCATAACTATGGCGGTTCCCAACTCCTCCCTCTTCACGACGGCGGCCCAAAATCTGCTGGGAAGTTATATTACCATTTCAAAGAAGCCACTTCAGAATCTTGATATCAATGGCGGTTCAAGAATCAACACTTGGGTTGACTCAATGAGAGCTTCTTCTCCCACTCATATCAAGTCCTCAGCTCTTTCTGAAGATAAAAACTCTTGGATTGTAAGCATCGTGTTTATGTATGTAAATATAAAACTGTTTCATAATCATATATACGTACATGTACTATGTATACGTACGTATATTTGTATAGATAGATACACGTGTGAGTAGAGTGTAATAACCACGTGTGGAGAAACAGGTGCACCATCCATCAGCATGTACTGTGTGTACATACGTATATTTGTATAAATATATACACGTGTGAGTAGAATGTAATAACCACGTGTGGTGAAACAGGTGCACCATCCATCAGCTCTAGACATGTTTGAGGAAATAAAAAATGCATCAGAAGGAAAGAAAATCGTTATGTTTTTAGATTATGATGGGACACTGTCCCCCATAGTGGACGATCCTGATAGAGCCTTCATGTCTAAGGCGGTTAGTTACCTTCAAAAAAATACCTTCACAAAATGCACACAAAATTGAAACAACTCTATAAATTAATTGTATCTATGGATAATTTGTGTATACAGATGAGAGATACAGTAAGAAAACTTGCTGAATATTTTCCCACTGCTATCGTTAGTGGGAGATGCAGAGACAAGGTACATTCTTTAAACAATTGGATTGTATCTTTCTTCACCTTTTGTGTTTTGGATTAATTAATGTTCTTGTTGTTTAAATAGGTGTATAATTTCGTACGTTTGGCCGAGTTGTACTATGCCGGAAGCCATGGCATGGACATAAAAGGCCCATCAAAAGGTTCTAAATACAAGAAAGTAAGCTTTCTGTGCTTGTACTTTTTCTCACTTATTTCTTCCATTTTTACCTCCAATAATTTTTGTTAACAATTTTTGAAACACTCAGGGTGCACAATCTGTTCTTTGCCAACCAGCCAGTGAATTTCTTCCAATGGTTGATGAAGTTAGTTTTCTCTTTTTTCCAAAATAAAAGTAATGGCTTTAGTTTATTATAAATACAATGTTTTTGACAAAATTTAAATTGAAAACACAGGTTTACAGAACACTTTTGGATGTAACAAAATCGACTCCAGGTGCTAAGGTAGAGAACAACAAATTCTGCTGCTCAGTGCATTTTCGCTGTGTGGATGAAAAGGTAGAGCATAATTATTACTCTTAAATTATTCATTATTCCTAATTATAATATGGGACCTTTTTTTACTTTTCTTGATCTGGTTAAGTGGCTTCTTTAACAAAAAAAAAAATAAAATATTAGTAATATTTTTTTTCCTACTTTATCTTTATAATAAGGACTGAGTAACTAATTTAAACTGTATAAAATTACAGAAATGGAGTGAACTAGCACAGCAAGTTAGAACAGTACTCAAGGAGTATCCAAAGCTTCGATTAACCCAAGGAAGAAAGGTGTGACAAATCACTCTGCAGATTCTTAATTTTTTATGTTCATTTTTATTTTCAGTTTGTAATATCTGTATGCTGTTCAGTGTTTTTTATGTTATTAAAAAATATATATTTGCTAAAAAATGCAGGTTTTAGAAATTCGTCCAACTATTAAATGGGACAAAGGCAAAGCCCTTGAATTTCTATTAGAATCACTAGGTGAATTTACTTTTTCTTTTATTTTTTGGAATCTGTCAATGTTGAAAAGCTCTAAACAACTTTATAATATAATTTTTAAAATGGATCTGCTTCCTCTATAGGATATGCAAATTGTACCGATGTTTTCCCTGTTTACATTGGAGATGATCGAACCGATGAAGATGCCTTTAAGGTATTCAAAGCTCCGGTATCCTTTTCGTAATTTTCCCTTATCTATTTCGTCAACTTATGGTTGCTTATAATCAGGTTCTAAGAGAAAGAGGTCAAGGGTTCGGAATTCTAGTTTCAAAGATGCCAAAAGACACTAATGCATCTTATTCTTTGCAGGAACCTTCTGAGGTAATTAAGAATCTTGGCACTAACATCATTTAAATGTACTAGGGCTTAAGGATTCAATATCTAATTATAATTTTATAATTACGTTGTAGGTGATGGCATTCTTACGTCGATTAGCGGACTGGAAGAGATTGTCCGTGAAACGACAGTTCAAAAAGAGAAAACTAGAAGAGAAAAAATGTCACTACCAAACTGAGATTGATGTATTTTAGAATCAAGATGCATAATTTATATTTTCCTGTTAGGTCCATAATTAAGAAAATATTATGTATTTTTATGTTTAAAGTGAAAATGATGGGGGAGAAAAGAGGTAAGAAGAAAATCTTTTCTCTTGGCATCAAGGTCCTTGTACAACTTTTGGAATTAAGCATGTACAAGGAAAAAATTGTAATTTAACCGGGTTATCTAATGCATAAAAGTTTTCATATCTCTTTCTCTTTCAACCCCCCATATCAGTAATTTATATATACAGTTTCAATTTTAACTGTCCATGTTCATCTAAGATAAACACCTTGCTACTTCCAATTGCACATGATGTTCTACGTTCAAAAATATCTCTTGCATCCATGTGCAGGCATAAATATGTATGTATACATATACAAGATTCATCAAAATACAAATGGGAGACACGAGTAGATACGTAATCCCCTAGTTACTCAATATATGCAAGAGATAAAATAAATGTATTTTTTTCTCTTAATAGTTTAAGCTCTTTAGATAGAGATAGTTCAAAATGTTTGGTCGATTTATAAATAAATGAGTACATTGTACACCTTAATAAAAGAATACACGTTAAAATCTAGGTATTCAATCAACGTGTTTCCTTTAATGACTAAGACATTTAGACGAAATGTTTAAGTAGAATATTTCAAAAGTGGGTATGTTGGTGACCAAAATAATGTGGCACTTATAAATCAAGCAGAGAAATTTCAACAGAATAATTGTGTTATATATATTTGCTGGAATTTGAATACAATATGGATGTAATTTTAATGGAATTATAGTACAAGTAGTATAATGAGATTCTTGATAACTTATTGGGTTTCTATCCCTTTATATAGGCCACTAGCTTGGGGCTTGATGCTCTAGTCATGTCAAGTTGCATGTCAAGTTGCATTACGTGACCTAGGCTTAGGCCTGTGTGTAACAGTTCTTTTTGAAAAGATTTGATTGGTGCGAGAATTCGACGATGAACAATCATTGTGCTACCTAACTTGTAGTCCTGCACCTTAGGTCATCATTACTTTTTTGTGATTGGTTGTTACGGGTGGTGTTGCTATCCAATGAGAAATACCTTTTCAATCTTGTTATGATCATATTTTCAAATGACGTTTCCGTAAGCTAACTACATTCGATGGAGCTTTGCTTGACCTTCCATGTTGTCATGTTTGATCGGAAAAAAAATCTCCTTTGATCAGTTCAAGGTGGACCCTTAAAGTGATCTGTGAATTTCTATATTGGCACCAATAAGATAAAAGACAAAATGGAAGTACACAGATACATTTGTTTGATTATGAATCATTTCCATGAGAATACATACACAATAGTGTAGTTGTATCATTTATTACAAACCGATGAAGCTCTTCCAGGGGTCAAAAGGTTGGCCCGGTACTCTTAATTCAAGTATAACTGACAATTCCAGACTCCTCTGCAACTATAAATACCATGAAGATAAGATCATGGCATTAAAATTATTATTTTTATTCTACATTATTAATAATTTTCATCATGAGACTCATCAAGTAATTAATATATGGACCCATATGCACATATACATCGAATGATCCATTTTTTGATTAACTGCATGCTGAGTCAAAAAGGAAAGGTATGACCTTATTATTCAACTTCTGAACAGATGGTTAACTTTGATCCAATTTTATTATATCCATATGGGATTTTTTTATAGATCAATCTCACATTTGATATAAATAATTGAGTTAGAAAGCAAATAAGTAAGACAGAACGTGGTGCTATATTTAGAATATTTCTTGCATGGGAGGGCATGCCTCGATTAGACAATTTTTTGCTATAAAACATATTCAACAGTCTGTCAAGTTGGCAACGGCGTGCTTTGAAAAGGAAATACACATTATTGGTTCTTTATATATAAAAATTTAAAATGGGGAGTTATTTTTTTTGTTGCCTATGGTGGTCGATGATCCATTTGTAGTGATGGCAATTTACCCCGTCCCGGTGTCGCCTCGTCCCGAATGGGGCAAAAAAACCCGCCCCGTGGCGGGGCGTGGGACGGGGCGTAAATGGTCACCCCGTCGCGGGGCGCGGGGCCCTCGCCCCGCCCCCGAACCCGTCCTGTGAAGAAAAAGTAAAAAAAAAAAAATTAAAAATAATTTTATTTCTAAACAATTCATCCGTTAAAAACTCATTTTAAATTTGTATTTTATTATCTAATAATAACATAATTCGAAACTTTCAAAATGTAAAAAATAAGGGGCAAAAAGTTGCCCCGTCCCCGCCCCGTCAAAGGCGGGGTAGGGGTTTTGCCAAACGGGGCGGGACGGGTGGGGGTGCCCCGCCTCAAACCCGCCCCATTGCCATCACTATCCATTTGTATCAAGTTCAATAATTGTTGCAAAATATACTTATATATTATCAACTCATTTGTCTGAATTTTATCTTCACGCTCCTTAAAATATAATCAAGTTAATTTTTGAATCAAATCTCTAATACATAAACAAATTTTATAAATGGATGGTACTGTACTCTGCTAACATATTGAGTTTTATTATGTAAATTTTGTTAAAGTTGGGGCTGCTTTTGCGAGAAACTATGAAATTCTCAGTTACAGTATTTGTATTTGCAAATGTAAAAGAAAACAAAACTAGTTGAATAATTGATTCTCATACAGCTTAGTGGGCTCGCATGATGAACAACAAAAGTTAATTTAGTGCTTATTATATTCTGTTATTTAGCATACTGAATATTTGCTAATTAACCATACATATATAGCTTGGCTAGGAATAGTTTTAGGGGTTATTTTACAAAGATTTCGGTAAAAGTTTAGTATATTATGATAAAAGTTGATGAAAATAAATGTTGAAAAGTTGATAAAAATTATGAATCCATGATATAAATGTTAAAATTAATTATTGTCTTTGACATCAAATTTTTTATTTTTTCCAAACAAGCACGCACCCAAGTAACATTATTGAGATGCCTCCTTTCCGCGTACTATAACTACAAATGCACCCTCTTTTGAAGCAAGAAAAGAAAGTGGATTGTGTTGACCTCGATTTTTGTATACACACGTGGACAACAGATATTGGGTCCACTCGCATTCACTCAAGCTGATTCTGACACGCTTTGATAGATCACTAGTCAACTAAATATTTCGATTTGAGCGTGGAAGAAGATTTTTAAAGTGAGACAAAAATGTTTGGACACTGGTGATCTATGTAAACGAGATTGTATAATAAATAACAATCGAAAACAAACGAGTCCAAATTGAAAACTAAGCATCCATCTCAAAAACTCTGAAAGTGATAGGACGAGAAAAAAAATATGAAGTATAGCTTCAAGAGTATATAGTTGCAGTAGCCTTCAAATAATACAAGGAGTATATATAGCGTTATAAATGAAATGGTGTTTGTTGGATGAGGAAGCATGCGACTTCATCTCCTTAATCAAAGTATCATATCTTAGGTATTAATCTAACTTCATTAGCTTGTGGCACATTTAATGCCATCAAAGGGACTGTCACCCTATAACCTATGCTGACAATATTTGACATATCTCTCATTATTAAAGTCACATCGATCGTTCTAATAAGATTTTATCAACCGAGGATCCTTGAAGGAGGTGGGTCATTCCATTCCATGCCGGAGCTTTGGATTGAGCCCTTGAACTATTACCACTTCGATGAAAGTGACTTCGGTGGTGAGCTTCAGCCAGTTCTATTCTAAGTTCTAGTTTATCCCATGTGGGATGTCATATGTAGGCTTCATCTAGAGCCTCGACGGGAAGGCGTAACAGATTGTATTAAGCATTATATCAATCAAAGCCTCCATCTTAACCTATACACTGAATAAAGACGTTGGAGCTAGTTCATATAACAAATTATGTGAGACATTCATGTTATATTTAACTAGATTCTTTTTCTAGAATGTAACAACTCGAAATGCCACATAGTTAAGGCTTGACATGTAGGCTTATAATCACTTGGACACCCTCCCTTTATAAGATGCTTTGAGACAATCGGTATCAAAGAATTAGCATCCTTCTAAGAATGACCATCGTTGCAGATGAGACGCATTAAAGAGGGAACTTTTCAAATAAAAATGGGTTTCATGAAATTACTTAGTTGAGAAAATGGATAGAAGTGGACGTGAATCTCAAAAGGAATGATAAATTGCAAAGACTCGAATTGCGTATGTCTTAATATTACTACAACTTGTGACAATGTTTGATTAGCAAGACATGAACTAAACAATCTAAGCTGCAGACATATTCTTGAGAGGTACCCACATTGATCAGCAGTCACTAAATTGTATTTGTTAACAATACTATATCCCCATTAATGGAAACATAACCATTGCTCCCAAACATAACTACAAATCTACTCATAGGTTATTTGGTTTCCTAGATTTGAAGGATTTTTTACAGGTTAATGAATCCAACTCCAACTATCTAATGTTGTATACTTTACTCTTTTTCCTCTCTCTCTTTATTAATAATAATATTATTATTATTTTTACTTTTTATAAATATATTCTATATATCATGGGACTCAAAAATAGAATAATGAGCTTTAATTTTCTTTTGATTAGGCTGTGAAAGGGAAACCCATCCACTATCTAGGTATAGGGAATCTAAAAATAGTTGAATGAGGAGTTGGAATCCACTTAAAGGGGAGAGAGTGTTTGATGTGAAGAGAACACATGGATTTTGCAATAGGAACACTAACATGCTTCCAAGTTCTTTGACAACCTTAGTTCTTTTGGACGTGGAAAGATGGAGTCCACTAGGTCTATTAGGCCCCCCTCCATCATTGGTACCATAACTGAAATAAACTACGTCTTTCTAAACTCCAATTATTGTTAGGCAAGTAAAGGGGCAGAGAGAAGAGAGAAGAGAGAAAGAGAGAGAGAGATCCTCTCCTTCCTTCAATGGAACCAATCCCTAGAATGCTCAAAATCCTTCACCTTTTACTATACACAACAAAATAAATAAATAAATAAATGCACGCTTTTATTTCTTTTGAAGAAAAGGCTGTATCCCATTAGGGTACTTCAATTTTCAATTCACATACATTCTCGTTTTCATTATTGTTAATTTCCACTAATTTATATTTCTTTGTGCTAATATATAATTTTAATAAATAAATGACGATGTGATTTGAACCCACCAAACCGAACCACCTCTTAAAGACTTGGCATGCAAGGCAACACATCATGTGAACACTTGAGAGTTAACATGTGAACCAAATGGTAGGGGGGTGATGCAATTAGAGGGATGGTCCTTAAATCATACGTGTCTACAGGAGGAGATACATGCAAGAGAATATATACAATGTGTCACACCTCAGGAATCGGTGCCCGCCTTGAGGGTCGAGCCATGGAGGGTGTTGCCTTTAAAATTGGAATATATAGATGTGTATATGTATAGACACATGCATGAATTAATTCAATATATGTTTATATATGAAGTATGGTCACATGGACGGATCAAGTGTGACTCAGATGCCATTGTTACGGGGAACAAATGAATAGTGTGTATCTGGTCTATGGTCATTGGTCTGTGTAAGTATTATGCTCTAAGTTCAATTAACTTTGAATATAAATACTTTTGGTATATAATTAAAGCAATTTAATGGCAGATCTATTATTTAATTAATAGACAATTAAATAAATAATAGAGTCCTTAAATTCAAATTTTCGTAATTTGTTAATCACAAAGAGTTGTGATTGTGAGATACAAATTATATCTGATTGAATCTTAAATCGTCCGTGGTCGTAAGTAATAACGAGATACAGATATCGTTATTACGGATAGATCATCACGTGTGACATTTCTTACTTGTTAAGTAAGTAACTGATCTCACAAGCTAAAGTGTGGTGAAATTTAAATGAACACATGAATGTTTTGTTATAGAACAAAACATTGGAACAAAACATTGGAAACTCGCCAGAGATTCCACATGAATAACTATCTGAATGTCAGTGGTTAATCTCTAACCTTCGATAGGGGAATTGGTCATTTGACTTGAGGTCGTCATAGTACCTTATATGAGGATAGTCATACTTTGACGTTGTTGGATGTTGCTCTGCAAAGGTCCGCTAAAACGACATCGTTTAGGTACGACAAGAATCGTATGAAGGTTGTGATTGACCAATAAAGGATTTGTCACTCTTAGATAGTAGGAGATTATGATCTACGTTTTATCTACTTAAGTCAAAAATGAAATCGTTGGCCAAGATGTACTCATAAGTCGAAAAGGAGTTTTCGACTTATATTGACTTAATAGTGGAGTGAAAGATATGATCGATAATTGAGATTGACTCACTTCCATATCTCGTAATTGATCGGATCATATTGACGAAGGGATTATAGTTTCACGGTAAACGAACGAGTTTGATTTTGCCATACCCCGTGACATTTCTCGTCACATGTATTGCCCTGACACATTGCTGGATATCAATATGGGATGGCGAGTGTAAAATGATGATAAATTAAAATGGTGTTTTAATTTATCAATTTTGATTTGATTAAAATAATATTTCACGTCGTTAGGCATCGTGATCAGGAAGCTTATGGGTCACACACAAAAGAGAATTGGAAGATTACAATTTGTCAATTAATTAATTTAATAATCGTTGGATAAATTAATTAATTGGGTTGGTTATTTATAGGCTCGAATTAATTAATTGGATTAATTAATTCACAGACCGAATTTAATTAAATGGATTAATTAAATATTGGATCGGACTGGACCATGCCCGTTTAGACTTATATAAATGCATGGCTAGTGTTTTCAATTCATGATATTTTTCTCATAATTATTCTTGTTAGCACATGAGGAGAAAGCCCTGGTAGCTGCAATCTTGTTCTTTATGTGGATCACCGTTGGAGGTTGGACAATTGGACAGCTATGGGTGGCGAATCAAGATTGCTGGAACGAAAAAAATAGCAAAAAAGTTTGCAGAATTCTTCAATGTTACAATCTTTATCACGATTTCTATCGAAACACAAAGGGATTCTCGATGAGAATCGAAATAATTTTAATTTTTTGTTGTGCATGTATAAGTAGATTCCTAATAGTGCTATCAGAGTCTACTTTGTGTTTGTTAGAAATCGTCTTGAATATGTGAAAAATCAAAAGTTGATTTTGTTCGGTTTCTAATTTCTAGCAATTTATGAAATTTGATTTTCATTCTTTTAAATCTGATGTAAATGGTATATAAAATAAAATAATAAAAAAAGGAGGGAAATGGGATGCCGGCAGCAACAGTTGTTGTTGGCGATGGCGAAGCTGCCGGCGGCAGATGCTGCTACTAAGAGTAGCAGCGGCATCTGCCGCTAGCAGCAACGTCTGCTGATGCTGTAGCAGCGCGACAACAGCCCGCAGTCTTTAGGCGACGGGCTTGCCAGGTTTTTTGGGCGGCGCCGATAAGCCAAGAGAAGAAAGAAAGAAAGAAAATAGAAAAAAATTTGGCTTCTAAGGTTTTTAGACGGGGTGAGAGAGGTTAGAGGTGCGAACTTCTATTGTAATTAGTGTAATTGCGAGCCCCTGCTTGCAATTACAGAAAAGGGGGTAATTGTGCATTCTTAAATAAAAGGGGCTGCTCTATTGTTTTTGAAACTTCGAGAGCCGCCTGTAATTATAAAAGGGGTCAGTTTGTAAACTTTCAATTGAATGGACTACCTTTTAATTTTAAACTTGGTCAACTTGTAAATTTCAAAACGAGTTTTGAATTTGTATTTAAAATGGACTTTAAAATTATGATTTTAATTGGGTTTGACCCGTGTTTCAATTTGCGCCCAAGATTTTTCGTTAAAATATGATTTTAACTTAAATTTTAAACTTTGACCCTAATTAAATTTTTATTTTATTTAGGAGTGTTATCCTAAATTAAAATATTAATTCAGTTTAAATTAGAGTTTGACTTTAATTTAATACTTAATTGAAATTTGATTTTAATTAAACAATCCCACCTTATAATTGTGGAATTTGAGTTGGACTCCAATTCGATATTTAATTAAAATTTGATTTTAATTAAATATGCCCGCTAATTAAATTAATTGATTAATATGATTGATTAATTATTTAATTGTTCTGATCATTTTGTCTAAAAGAGTTTAGACAACCTTAATTGCTAGAAATTTGAAAAGTGTTAGCATATAATATTAGATATTATATATACATACATTTATGTGATGAATGTATTATTAGTGGACGATTATGGACTCGATTATATGGATGTGTTGAATGGTTAATTTTTATTCTTATCGTTTTGTGGGTTAGCGAGCTCTTAAATGTTTTGGGCCTACGAGCCCGTTATTATTGTTATAATTATGAGCCTGCGAGCTTTTAATCATTTTGGACCTGCGAGTCCATATTGTTATTGTTGCTATGGGTCTGCGAGTCCAATTTCATTTAGGCTTGCGTGTCAACTAATATAGGATACAAGTTGCAACTTGACTAATTGAAGAAACAAGAAGAGGAGGAGACTATAGAGATGGTGCATTGATACTGATCAATGCAATACCCCTTAGGAATTGACCAATTAGTCTTCCTTATAACTCAGGAAGACTAGATAGTAAAAATCCATAATCGTGCACAATATATATATATTTATTTATTTATTTATTTATTTATT